CCCTCCTGGAAGCCAGGATGTGACCAGCTAAGGACACAGCCTGAAACCTTAAAGCAACGAGGTACAGACAGGCCATACACCAACAAAGGGGGCCAATGAAACTATAAACAATACTTACGGCAGGAAAATAAGGGGAAAAGAAAAACGAACATGTGGGAGGAACAGAAAAGAATAGCAAGATGGTAGACTTAATCCCCATCAAATCAATAACATTATGTGCACATCAAAGGCAGACATTTCATATGCAATAAGCATGCCAGGGCCCATTATATGCTGCCAGGGAGAAGCCTACCTAAATATAAAGAGACACACAGAGGAAAAGGAGGAGGAGTAAGTGGTCTCCACGCTGAAACGGATAGAAAGCTGGGTGGCACTGTGAATGCGGAGGAAAGTGGATTTTAGGGAATGTTACCAGGGATAAAGAGGGTCACTTCACAATGCTAAGGTGGAAAAGCATCAAAATGACAGACAATCTTAAATGTTGATGAGCCTAGTAGAGTTTCAAAATACACGAAGCAAACATTACCGACTGGAAGAAGAAACAGATGAGTCCACAGTTATACTGAGATCTCAACAGCCTTTTCTCAGTTCCTGATAGAACATGTGGACAGAAATCAGCAAGGATATAGAAGACTGAACCGTGCTATCAGCCACCTTGACGAGGGTATACGTGAATCCGCCACAAGGAACAGAGGAAGACATTCTTGTTAACTACATATGAAATATTTACCTAGACACACTCTGTTGTTGGTCATAAAATGTCTTAATTAATTTAAAAGGACTGAAGTCATTCAAAGTATGTTTTCCAACCACAACGTAATTAGAAGTAAAATCAGATTTCTAGAAAATTCCAAATATGTGCAAACTAAACAACACACCTCTAAAGAATCTTGGGTAAAAGAAGAAATGAAAAAAGAAAATTTGGAAATATTTTAAACTCAATGAAGCTAAAAACCCAAGATCAAAAATTTAGATTATTGCTAAAGCAGTCTATAGAGCAGTGGTTCTAAACCTTCCTAGTGCCGTGACCCTTTAATCCAGTTCCTCTGTTGTGGTGACCCCCAACCAAAAAATTACTGTTGTTGCTTCTGTTATGAATCGCCATTGGAAATATGTGTTTTCCTATGGTCTGAGGCGACCCCTGTGAAAGGGTCGTTTGACCGCCAAAGGGGTCGCGACCCACAGGTTGAGAATTTCTGCTATAAAAGGATATTTATTGTACTAAATGCACACATTAGAAAGGAAAAAAGACTTCAAACTAATGGTGTCAGCCGATCAAACCCAGTGTAAACAGGAGAAAAATAACATGAATCATGAGTAGAAATCAGTTGAATATCCCTCTGCAAAGAAATTCAAGTCATATCTCACACTATAAATAAAAATAAACTCAAATAGATCATAAGTTTAAATATCAAATCTTTAACTCTCATTTTTTAAGGAGATAATCTTGTGACCTCCAGTTTAGATAACATCAAAAACATGGTCCGTGAAAGAAAGTAAAATTATGAATGAGACTTCATGAAAACTAAGAACATCTACTCTTTAAAAGGTATTGTTGGGAGAATGCAAAACAAGCCACAGATTGTGGGGGAAAATGCAAATCACATAGCTGAAAAAATGGAATCCAGAACATATAAAAACTCTTAAAATTCAATAATAAGACAAACAAACAAACAAACCCCACATATAAAATGGCAAAGGTTTGAATTGATATTTTATCAAAGAGTATACACAGATGCCAAACACACAGAAAAAAATGATCAACACCCCCACGTCACTAATTATTGAGGAAATGCAAATTAAAACCACAACAATACACCAGTGTGTCACTGCTTAACGACAACGTCTATGATGGAAAAGACTGACCTTGCCAAGTGTTGGCAAGAACTTGGATCCCTCATACACGACTAGTGAGAATATAAAATGGTTCAACCACGTTGGTAAGCAGCTGGAAAAACTTTAACATTTTAAAGAAAGTGAAACACAGCGACTGTGTCACTCAGGCATTCTGCTCCCAGGTACTGCCCGGGAGAAATGGGGGGGGGGGGCGCCTGTACACGTGTGCACAGCAGCCTCCTTGAGAACATCCTCGGGAAAACCCCAGGGAATGGATCTCAAAGTCATCATGCTGAGTAAAAGAGGCCGGATAAAGGTACAGTAGATATCATGTGATTCTCTTTTTTATAAAACTTCAGAAAATTCGAACTAAGCCATAGTGTCAGGCAGGGGACTGGGGTGGGGCACAGAGAGCAGGCAGGTAGGATTGCCAAGGGCTCAGGACATCGGTGAGGGCTTCACAGGTACATACCCATGTCAAACCCTGTCCACGGCACACTTTCTACATGTGTAGTTTAATATTTGCTACTTATACCACATCAGAGACGTTTCAGACTATAGCGCTACAAACTTGCTTCTGTTTAGTATTTCTTAGTATACACATTTCAGTCCCTTTCCTTTCCACCTTTTAGTATTCTTATGCTCAGGTGTGTACTTTGTGAACAATCTAAAGCCAGATTTTATTGCATGCAATGTGTACTTCATACATACTTACCGACTATTAAACAAATCCAATTTGGTAATTGAAATCTTTGATTTGGTCTAGTTTCATTCATGTACACTCATTATGACATTTTGGAGTTCATTTCTAATATCTTATTTTATTCTTTTGATTTCTCTCATCTCCCTCCCTCCCTCCCTTCCTTCTTCCCCCTATTTTCTCTGCTTTTTCTTTCTTTCGCGTTTTGCCTTCATCTGCATTGATTGAAATGCTTTTACCCCTCATTCCAACTTTTCCCACTTTTTTTGTTTTAAAACCACATACTCTATTTTATTGGTTATCCTAGGAAGTGTCCCAAAAAATGTGCACAGGGTGTCTGTAGATTCTATTACATTTTGAAAATGAAATATATTCTAATCAACATTGGCTTTATAATTATTCAAAATTATGTATAGATTTTTTGGGGGCACCCTATATATTTGAACTTAAAGTCTAGAAGTACAGAATACTTCCTTTCCCTAGAATATAACAACCTTATGCATGGTGGCTTATTTCTTTGTGTGTGTAGTAATTTCATTTTTATTCTCCTAAGTGGACACAAGTCCTATAGAATTTTACATGGAATTTTCAGACCACATGAAAATTGGGGTAGCACGGAATCTGCCTCTCAAATCCGGTAGGGCAGGGATTCCTTAGGGAGGGCTGGTTCCCCTCCCCACCTCATCAAGAGCCAAAGCTGCAACAGGCCAGGCCCTCCTTCAGGGTGAATTTCCTCTTTCTCCCCCACTCATCAAGGAGGGTGCTGCCCTTCAGAAATCCCCGGTTTACGCCGGGTCCTCCATCCGATGTCCCACCCTGTGAGGCACCTGGCTTTTTCTCCTGATGTGGCTTTGGGTTATTTCCTATACATTTTTTTTTTTTAATTCTTTACCTGAGGACAGTTTTTTTAATTAATTTTTAGGGAGAGAGAAAGGAAACAGAGAGAGAGAAAGAGACATTGATTTGAGAGAGTAACGCGCCCTAACCAGGGATCAAACCCACAACCCTTTGGTGTATGGGACCGCACTCCAACCAACAAAGCCACCTGGCCAGGGCCCTGTGCATTCTTTCTGTTGTTAATCCTTACCCAAGGATATTTTTTTCCATTGATTTTTAGAGAGAGTGAAAGGGAGGGAGAGAGGGACAGAGAGAGAGAGAGGGAAAGAAACATTGATGTGAGAGAGACACATTGATTGGTTGCCTCCCACACGCACCCCAAAAGGCGCAGGGAATGGAATCTGCAAGCCAGGTACTTGCCCTTGACCGGCAAACTCAAGATGCTTCTGTGCATGGCCGATGCTCTAGCCATGGAGCACACCAGCCAGCGCACCCTATATATTTTAAATTAACCAGAAATATTTAAAAGTTTTCTATTCTCTAAGTTTTCTCATTAATAGCGGAGCAACTAAGAATGCAGTCTGGTCCTGGCTGGTTTGGCTCAGGGGTTACAGCGTTGGCCTGGGAACAAAGTTCATGGGTTCGATTCCCAGTCAAGGGCACGTACCTGGGTTGCAGTTTGATCCCCAGTCCCTGTCGGGGTTGTGCAGGAAGCAACCAATCGATGTGTCTCTCTCACATCGATGTCTCCACTCTATCTAAAAAAAAAAAAAAATCAAGAAAAAAATATCCTCAGTGAAGATTAACAACAGTAGAAAAAGAATGCAGTTTGGGGATTCCGAGTGTTTGGGGTTCAAACCAAGACTCTACTAATTTGGGCAAATGAATAAAAATATGTGTCTTTGGGCAAATGAATAAAAATATGTGTCCCTTGATTTCCTCACATGTAAATCACATGTAGACGGAGGGGCAGTGACAGCGCCGTCCTCATAGGTTGTTGTGGGCATTAATACATCACTACAGTTAAAGAGCGAGCGCAGGACAGTGCCCGGCGTACAGCAGGACCTCAGACATGCGCTGTTGATACTGCCACTGTTTCTGTGCTTGAAGAAAATGTTCTGAGGTTATATTGCATTCTATTCTACAAAGGGGTAATTGCCTTAGGATATGAATTTCCATAGTAAATAATTTTCAACTTTCAAGTGACATTAGGCAGCTGATTTATGTCTGACTATAAAGGAACGGCTTCCTCATTGACAAAATAACAGGTATTTGATATGCATGGTTGCTGGTTTTCTTCCTTTTAGAAAATATTATGTCTTGAGGTTAGAGTTTCAAAGTCTGTTTTTCAACAGTAAATTATTTCTACGTGCTGTCGGATAGCAGGTACTCCCACACAGAGAAGAGCCTACCTCTGAAGCGGAGCATGATAACCCTTGATCTGTAAGAACAATGCCAGCAGCTGCTTCATTTCGTCTGGAGTCGGAACACATCAGCATGCGTGTGTCAGGCCCGGACAGTCCTGCATGTCCCACGTGCTGGCATGGCCTCCACTAGTGACACTTGAACAAATACATTCCAAGTTCAAGTTTCTCCCCAAACGACACAGATCACATTTCCCAAATACCTGGCGAATGAAGCTTGGTGGTCGAAGCTGCCACTCTCTTTGGAGATGAAGTAGCAGGTTTATTAGCCTCTTGATCTTTCTGTAGTTCTTTCTTTGTTCCTATATAGTTTAAAAAAGAGAAACAGAAAGAAAGCAAACGAGTTACATTTGGAAGAGCAACACCACCTGTTTGTGGAAAGGGAGGTTTAGCAAAAGGCAAATGGAACAGTCGTGTTTGGATGACTTGTGGCTATGGTCACCACCCCCTGCGCTTCAGAAATGACACACTTGTTCACAGCAAAGGGGGTTCAGTGGTAGTGGTCAGGGGAATAAGCACACAGCTGTCTCTGGTTTGGTGAAAAACGCCCCTATCTCTGGAGGTCACAGCACCCCACTGACCCTGAGGAACTATCTGGGAATTAAAATTGTCCTTTCTTTGGCCACCAACATGACCTGCCAGCTTCTTTTGGCAGAAAGTAATTTTCAGAAGAGAAAGAAGGAAGTGGTCGCTGAACATTAACTTCTGACTTCAGCACCATGGAGGGCGGAGCCAGGGGCAGTGGTCCGCCTCTAGTGAATTTCCAAGCAGCTGCTCCCACAGAAGTCTTTGTGCTCTAGGCTGCAGCTGAGCCAAGTGGGACCAGAGCTGGCCCAGCAGCATGGGGTGACATCTATGAACAGCTCCTCAAATTATGTCCAGGGGCACATGGGGCTATTTCTCCCTGGCGTGCTGGGACACTCACCTTCATGTCACCTGCATCAGAAAGTCAAAGGACAATGGAGGAAGATAAGAGAAATAATTCACCCCTGGATGGACCTAGACCTGCCTCCACTTCTGCACAGTGTCTTATGTCATTTCAAATGACAAACCTCGGTGATGGCTCCTTAGACGCAGAACACAAACCTCCAACTCCCCCCCACCCTGCGCCCTCGCGCCTTCCCCAGAGGCAGCCGCTGCTGGCAATCCTGCGATGATTCTTCCAGACCTTTCTCTAGGCATTTATAAATATAAATATAAAAAAAAAATACACAAATAGTTATTAATTAACTAAAGAAACCGCACACTGCAATTTCTCTTTACCTACACACATTTTTTAAAGATCTTTTTTTCATATCATGCATTTGTAGATCTTTTAAAAAAGTCACAATGTATTAATGGTCAAAGATGTACCATGATTCAATTACCTATCTCTTATTGATGAGCGTTTAGATTATTGGCAAGTTTTGGCTATTAAAATGGCTATGGCTCAATGTGCTACAATAAACATTCTCCTACTTGTTTCTTTGCTCATATGTACTAGTATCTTTCCAGGACAAATGCATAGAAATGCTTTTGCTCGTTTGCAATATTCCTGGACACAGTTAACTCCAGAGGAACTACTAATTTGCACCCCAACCAAGAGTGTGTGAGAGCAACTCTCTCCGCATGCCCACCCTACTGACAGTGAGGCTCAGTCATTTTAATTTTTGCCAGATACGTACTTAGAGTTTTTTCATATTGGCCATGTGCATATTCTTATTTGAAAATTGCCTAATGAAACCCTTTGCCCATTTTTCTTATGTTTTCTAGACTTTTACTTTTTAAAAGTTATTTATAGTATCTTTCACTATACTATAGTTTTATGCAGTTTTAATGTGTTCAAATATGTTAACTTTCCCTGTTCAGCTTTAAGAACACTATTACAGGTTATTTGTACCTCTGTGCGCATGCAAGAGAGAGAGAGTGTGTGTGTGTGTGTGTGTGACGGGGTGGGGTGGAGGGCAGGGATCATTTCCAGAGTTTTGGGAGGGAGGCAGGTATTTGGATCCTACCTCCTCCTTTTTTTTTTTATCCTCACCTGAGGACATTTTTGTTTGCATTTATCTTCAGATGGAGCGGGAGGGAGAGAGGGGGGAAGAGGGAGAGAGAAACGTCGACATGAGAGAGACACATCAAATGGCTGCCACCCACACAACCCTAACTGGGGCGGGGACAAACTGCAACCGAGGTACGTGCCCTTAGCGGGAACTGAACCCGGGTCTCTCTGGTCCGCGGGCTGATGCCCTAACCGCTGAGCCAATCCAGCCAGGGCGATCCTACCTCCTTCTCTCCTGTTCTCCTTTGACCTCACTGGGCACCGCCTCCCTCATGCCACTGCATCTGCTCAGCCCCTCTCCATGCTGGTCCACCTGCCTCAGCATTTCCAGCACAGACCTGTCTTCATCTCCTGTTCCACTGCCTTTGGACAAACTGTTGATTTGAATTATCTAAGGCCTGACTTCTCTTTTGCATCCCCCACCCCCACCACCCCCACATTTTTTTTAAATAATCCAAACCTGAGAATATTTTTCCATTTATCTTCAGATAGAGTGGGAGGGTGGGGAGAGAGAGAGAGAGACATCGACGTGAGAGAGACATCGACTTTGCTTCCCCCATGACCCTGACCAGGGCCAGGGACGAACCTCAACTAAGGTACGTGCCCTTGACCGGAATCAAACCCGTGACTCATTGGTCCTTGGGCTGACACTCTAACCACTGAGCCAAACTGGCCAGGGCCGCCCCCGCATTTTTTCTTCCCACCCTCAATATGCTTTGAGGCATTTAGTGAACATACCCAGAGTCTTTCACATCTTACCACTTACTCGCTGTGCTCAGGTCAGAAACACCAGGAGTGGCCTTGATCTGTGTCTTTGCTCCTTGCCCCCATTCAGCCCGTCAGCAAAGCTTGCTGACTCTCTGAGACTGTCCCCGGTCTGACCACACCCCTGCCTTGGCGGCCTCTCTGGAGCCCATGTCACCATCACCCGCCTCTTCTGCAGCCTCCTGCCTGCTCTGCAGCTCCCCCGCCTGCCCCTGCAGCGCATCCCCACGGCGGCTCAGCCACTTAAAATCTAAGAGGAGCAAGTCCTCCCCAGTTTCAAACCCTCCACCACCTTGCAAGACACTCTAAGGGAAATGCCTTAGCACACCCGGGCCCTGAGACCAGCGCTCTCCAGTGGGAATACCGTATGAGCCACTTGGGCAACTTTACATTTTCTAGTAACAACATTTAAAACATAAAAAGTACAGCCCTGGCCGGTTTGGCTCAGTGGTTGGAGCGTCGGCCTGCGGACCAGAGAGTCCTGGGTTCGGTTTCCGCTAGGGGGCACGTACCAAAAAAACAAAACAAAACATAAAAAGTACAGTGAAGTTAATTGCAACAGTGCATTTTATTTGAGCCAATGCATTCGATATCACTTCAACGAGGCACAGCCACCTTTCAAGTGCTCAGGGGCCGGTGGCCACCACAGTGACAGCACAGCCCCAGACGACCTGGTCCCCTGGCCACTTCACAGACACGTGAGGGTTAATTTCATAGGTCAACCTGGCTGGGTGAAGGGGTGCTCAGACGGCTGGTCCACCACTTGTGGGTACACGTGGCGCTGGACGGGATCATCCCTGAACGGTAGACCGGGGAAAGCCGATTTCCTTCCGTACCGGGCTGGGCCCCGTCTAGCTGCTGCAGGCCTGAGCAGAACAAAGGCCGAGAAGGAAGGAGCTTGGCCCGCTTCATGGGTTAAGCGGGGACATCAGTCTTCTGTCCTCAGACTTGAACTTACACCATTGGCTGTCCTGGGTTCCCAGCTTGTTGACTGGAGACCTTGGGATTTCTCAGCCTCCATAATTATAAATATCTGATAAATATATAGTATATAAAGAATGTAAAGAATACATGTTCTTTATATATATAATGTACTATATATGCATACATGTCCTATTGGGTGTGTTTCTCTGAAGAACCCTCACACACAGCGCTCGGCCCCCGCCCGCCTTGCTGGGGCTGAGACATGCACGCTTCCTCCCCTCCGGGCACTTGGCTGGAGTTCCTCCTGCACAGAGCATGTTCCCCCAGCCTGGCCGCGCGGCTCAGCTGGCTGGAGCGCAGTCCCGCACACAGAAAGGCCGTGGCTTCGATTCCCGGTCTGCACACATACCCAGGCCGCAGGTTCAGCCCCCAGTCAGGGTGCATGCCAGCTGGGGTGCGTAGAGGAGGCAGCTGATTGTTTCCCTCTCATGTCATTGTTTCTCTCTCTCTCTCTCTCTCTCTCGCTCTCTCTCAAATCAATGATATTAAAAAAAAGAGTATGCTGCCCTGGCCAGTTGGCTCAGCAGTTAGAGCATCAGCCCGCAGACCAGAGAGACCCAGGTTTGGTTCCCGCTAAGGGCATGTACCTCGGTTGCAGTTTGTCCCCAGCCCTGGTTGGGATCGTGTGGGTGGCAGCCACTAGATGTATCTCTCTGACACTGGTGTCTCTCTCTCTCTCTTCCTCCCTATCTGAAGATAAATGTAAAAAAAGAAAAAGAAGAATACGCTTCCTCCAGACCTTGAGCATGGTTCCCTCATCCACGCATCCAGGTCTCTGCACACACAATAACCTTCAGAGACGCCGTGGCTGACCCTCTAGGTGAAGCAGTCCTCCCGCCACCTGCCACTCTCCTTTCTACTTGCTTTGTTGTTCTTCACAGCATTTGTCATTACCCCCAAGTATACACTCACCTGCTTGGTTCCTGTCTACTCTCCCCACTAGAAAACACATGTCAGCGGTGAGCCACACCCTTCCCTGCACAACGTGGCCATTCAGTTGATGCCCTTCCTGCCCTCCCTACCCCTCCACTGGACTCTTTCAAGGCAGGTCCTGCCCAGGCATCCTAGGGTGTACAGAGGCTGGAACGTGGGTCCTGAAGTCCCGGCCAGCACTGCACACCGCCGATGGCACACGACCCTTCAGAGTACCAGTCTGTCCTCATGGCTCATCTCGCTCTCCCATCCCGTCCCCTGCTCTGATCTCAGGTATCAACAAATATGAAAAGGCACCAAGGCCCCTGGGAGCTGAGACAGGAAATGTTACAGCCAAAGTCTGCACTGAACATAGTACTTTACAAACAAATTAAACATGCATATTTAATCAGAGTTTCAATAGTTTCCATCCCATGGAGTGCAATTTGGCAACTTCTAGCAAACATTTAAATATTGATAGACTTGACTTGGCAATTCCGCTCCTACATATCTTTCTTTGCAACACTTGGCATGAGTGTGGAAAAATGTATGCTCAAAGATATTTGATGCACTGTGACAATAATAAAGAAGTGTAAATAACCT